GCCATCACACCACGTCAAGGTGCAGTCTCGTCGTGCTCCCTGGCTTTTCAGCTCACATTTCATTTACACGATGAATTCATCATCTGAACTTTAGAATTCAGTTGGGCTGAGAAACAGCATAAAGATAGTGTCCAGAGTTTGAGTATCTCAGGAGCAACACTGCTTGGCTCAAAAACAATCTATTTTCGATGGACAGAATTTGAGTGAGCCCGATCGAATGAACAACCGAGCAATCCGAAACAAATACAAACACCGGATGAGAAAGTGTTTCCGATCTCTATGTTGTCAACCTTGTAATATTACGTGCATAAGGTGAGGATAATACATCCTTTCATGTTGTTTCGCTAATTCGTGTTTGGAAAAACTAATAATTTTAGGCCCATGAACTAATTCAACACTGAGAACGCTATTGAAAGTGATACAAAGTGACTATGAAGGTTATTGGATTGACATTACCATTCGAAGGATGCAAATAGTAGAAATTCACTTCCCGTGAAGATAACAATAAAATTTTATTACCTTCTAAAAAATGATTAGAGGAAAACATACAATTATTTCAAACGCAAATAGAGTCTATAAAAACTGCCCAAAACGCGTTATTTTTTATTACACTGTTTTGACGAACAGTAGAAGGGATAATCCCCATAGTTACCAGGTCCCACTTTCCATTCAGAGGAACCATCAACCTAAGCCCCGGGAAGTGGAGTGGTGAACCACATAAGGCCTCAATAACATAGGCGTGGAAATGAGCCAGGCGACAACCGAGCTACCTATGACGAAATTTGAGACAGGGACCACGGACTGGCGATGTCAGCGACTTGAACCGCTTAAACACCACAACCCAATGCACTTCGAACATTCAACGTCCAAAAGCAGTTCATACTGTTGGAAAAGTAGTAAATGAAGAGCCCTAAGCACTCACTCGCTTGCATCGGACATGTCGAATTAGGAAGACACGAACCGTGAAGAAAGCGCGTACCGTTTCCGAGATCATTCGTACTGAGATGTTACCGTAAGTCTGTTGTCCAGAGGAAGGCCAATATTTGTCGCATTTCCGCTAAAATCAGGAATAAACGGGCGTGCTTCGGCGTAGTGAGATAATAACAACCGCTGAGATCAAATACATGAACTGCACACCCAAATTAACAACAACTATTAAACACAATTAGGTAAAGACAGTTTTAAAAACATGACTTGATGCAGTGAATCCCCAAACGGAAAAGCTTCTACTGCGACAAGCAATATTACTTTGCCACACTGGACGATGTTGAACAGGGAGGTATTTTGAAGGCCATTTTTGAATCCGGGTTAAACAGACAACAGACAAAACCAATAAACAGCATACTGGTAGGTAGGTCTTGTATTTGTATTGTGCCTCCCAGTCGTAACATTTCCCGTTCTCTACACGGGCAATGTTTAACATGCTGTTGATTTATCTAATCGTTCCGAGATATACCTCAGTCACTAAACAACAAGTGCTACTGGCGCTTCATAGGTTTAAGCCTGTAGGTTTCTAATGTCAATTATACTCCTTGAACTGTGCGCCGGAATATGCTCACATTGTTCGCAAAAGGGTCTAACCTGTTGTTTTACAAGTGAATTAAATGTCAGTACCTAAGGGTGGTGGCCCTTGTCAATCTAACGACTATTGTCCCCTCTTCCTTTTGCCAATCGACTCCAAACTCATGGGAACCGTTGTTTTAAGACAACGGCTATGTGAACAACTACCAGTACGGCCTCCATCACCACACAACTACTTACTAGCATCTGTTTTACACAGTTGGTTCTCTATGAGGATGACATCCCGGAATTTGTCGAATGAGTGACACAAGAACATGCATTGTCTACCTCAAAAATCTTAATCGCAGATCAGTAGTTCTCCCAGCTATCGCTCGGTCGCCTTGGGAACTATTTTATGAATGCTTTAACTGTATCTTGGTGCTATTTTTTATTTACTTCCTTTTAACATATGTATATATGATACAATTGTAAAGAAGATAGAAATCGCCAAACAAAGAGCTGCTATACAATATAAAGATGGTGGGGATTGGAACACACGTCCTCTGGTTTGATAACTTGGTGACCTTTACCGATTGACTACTACCGCCGGCGGCGTTTCCTAAGCTTCAACCTTTCAGCCCAATGCTATTCCGACTGTTTATAATGAGCCTTTCTAGTCAACTAAAAAAATCTGTATATGTCTTCCCCCATCGATAGTACCATTCTTTCCATCCGTAATCCCACAAAATCTTCTCCTTCCTGGTCCCCTTACTTCTATTCTCTCCATTTGTGACCCAAGAGATTAGTTTGCTGTTGAACACAACTCCTGTTCACACAGCTCCGAATTCGAGAAAAGGCCTCTTCCTCATGTGCAATCCTTTTAAATCGTATTCGGTTATGCAACTCATTACTAAACCATTGATGAGCACTTGCTTTACTCTACCTTTTTATTGTTACTAACACGTTTATTTGCAGGAACTTGCGGTTGCAGTTGTTTCATCCCATTCCGTTCTTTTCACTCATCTAAATTGTATACAGATTGCAAACCATGACCACCCACTCGTTGCTCCGGTATAACGCATTTCGGTTTCAAGTTGGTACCCAAGAATCGTTAAGTTCTGAAACGGAAGCACATGCGCAGAACTACATTTACCAAAGTGTCACGAGTAAATACCTCATAATTTGAACGACATTCATTCACTGCCTCCGGCTGAATCCTACTTATTAAGCTGTTCATTATTCACATTATCCCCGTAATTGGACAAGGGCTAGAGGTGAGAAAAGGTCAACCGCAAAAAAGGATCATTCATATGATGAATTATGCATGACAGGCAAGGCATTCAACCGAACACCGGTCAACTCACACGACCACGCTCGATGAAATTTGAGATCATCACAATCACATTGCAGCCCTGTTCCCATGCCATCAACCAGAAATCGTCGAATGTTGACGGAGTTGGACCCTGCGTGGCAATATAAGCGCAACGTCGATGGTAACCCTGAAACAAAATGAAATGATTAGCTAGTACTCGGCAATAACGCGAGCAGTCGAAATCATAAACTGTCCTAATTAGACGAGAGACGAAGTGAACATAAAATTTATTGGAAAAAAAGAAATCAATGCCACGCAGCACAAAACAAACATTTGTGTGCGATTAGCCAGAGAACAACTTACATCCACATAGTTCGCGTTAATGTAGTCACTCTTGTGACCAACTTCACGTAAGATAACACGCGTATGATCATCTGCAAACGGGGGAGGGAATGAACAAGGACGGATATGTGGATTGAAATATCGTCCGCGAATTAGGTGAATACAACGGGAAAATGATAACCCGGAACGGGGAGAATGGTAGTTCAAGAAACTTACAGGCTAACACATTTGAGTATCGATTTTTATTCATATTTTCCGGCAATTTGGCAATATGAGTAGTCCAATCCGATGGAACACTTTGTTCGATGTCCTGTATAGAGATGAGATGCCAACAAAAGATACATTATAAGAGACTGGTCTCTATAGTGCGCCACAAATAGAAAAAAAAACAGTATCAAGGCTCCAAAAGTCAACTAGTTTGAGACACACATGAAGAATAGATTGTGTGCACGCAATCTGCCCATGAATCGAACTGAAATGCAATGATTATTATGCGCCTCATAAATTACAAAGATATTTGAAAGCAAGAAGAGCAAGGCGTTACCAACGGTACATTATAGATCGGGTAGTTCTGCTGAATCCAACAGAAAAAGATAAACGTTGATGAATGATGGGCATACGCCCCAAATCGATCCATTTCGTGTTGATAGAATGGCTTTAGAATGGAAATACACGGTAGGCAGGAGATGGAACATTTGTGATGGAAGACCAGTGAAAGACCGAAGAATGATAATATAACATGACATATCATGAATAAAAATAAACCAAATGGACTTGGAAAAGCACTCACTTCGAACTCGGCCTGGAAAGCAGCATCATCATTCGCATGTGCTGAGGCCACATAGGCGCGGAGATTGGCGCGTGCGATAGGTTGATAGTTGGCTTTGTTTAGTCGCAGTGGTACAGCTCTACGGTACTTCACGGGATTCTCCACAGAGCGTCGATAGATATGCGAGAGGTGGCAAAGCAGGAACATGCATGGGATCCGACTGGTGCAGTGTTACGGGTATTGGCCAGAAAAATGAGAGAAAAAATGACAAAAAAAGATCTTCGATAAACATAGGTTTGAATTAAATATAAACATATACTACATTACCATATTAAATTTACACACTTGGCATCAAGCAGAGTGGAGCTTAGTATGATGCAACAGTTTTCATGTCGTAAACACAACAGTGGATGTTAACGAACCTAGCAGCATCGCATTCTCGGGTAAATCATTAACCTGTTTTTTTATGTAGATTATTGCACCGTGATTTGCACAAATTTTGAATCCAGATGTGTGTGAAACTAGAATGTAAACCGCACCTATAACTATCTACGGATTAATGAACCAGTGAATTTAAAGAAAGACGTTAAGAAGAATCGGTTGGTACAATATGTTCCGAATAATCCCTTTGAATAAATAAGCATGTGCATAGAGCAGCTTTTGGTGAAGAATCTGTGACCACGGCTTGCTGGTCACGAACTTGAATAGGGAAGATCAAAACATGGATACACACAATGTATTTATGATCATTTCACTACATCTGTACAATTGCACACTCCAGACAAAGAAGAAAGAATGGAGAAAATTTTATTCTTACAGTCAGTTAAATAACGGAGGTGGAAAGAAGAAAAGACTGCGAGTAACAACAGACGATAAAACGGGAAAAGCGTCAGGGGTTCATAATGAATATTCACGTTGTTGGCCATAAATCAGGACTGTGGTTGTGAATAACCAGAGCCTTGGGGCATGTGAATGATTTTTTTTTTTGTGGAGTTTGAATGACTTCAAATGAGTGCTCTGGAGTGACAGAGGGGTGATTTTCATATCAGCATTGCATAATCATAAACCTTAGTCGTTTCTGCCTAGTCGATGATGTATCCATTTCAAAACTGTCGTTCATCGTTTTCCGAACCCACACTGAGATGTGTTCGCCTATCCGGTGACGTAACTGGCTCTGTTCTCCTTACGTGGATGGTTGAGCATCCACGCGTGAATTGTAAAGTGAAAATCGGTTTTGCGGATGAAGGCAAAATGGTCCTTTGGTGGGCGTCATTGACATCTGGGTGGTAACCAAGATAATGACCTGGTCAACTGAGCAGTGGACAAGACTGACGGCAAAGTGAAACCGCCAACTAAACTAACCATATCATGACATCATCGCTTTTGTACGGCAACTTTGAGCGAGTTTTTATTCCTTGAACAATTATTGGTCTCGGTGTTGCTTCCAACTGTCTGGCGATGAACGCAACCGAATATTCATATGCTTCTAGTACCTTGGTCAGGAACCCGCCTTATCTTCTAGGTATTACCTATGAGCTTTATAAAATAGTATGCAATCGATATCGGTCACCTTTTGGTGAACTACACGGAAATTGAATATTCCAACCATTGTCATGTAACTGACTGTTCATTTTGCATATTCCAGAAACCTAGGTTCCTTGGAGGTTGGATGAGGCATCGCTGTAACTCCAATAGATGCTCTCGCAGAGTAAACTACTAAAGCATCTGCTGGGGAAATTCCACTTTCTCGTGACGCGGATGAGAGAAGTTGAAAATATAATATCCAGTATCAGAACCAAGGGAGATGGGAATATCTGATTATGAACCTCCCATTACCAGGCGAATGGATTGACTCCAGGACATTCTGGCTGTGATCATCAGTTCATTGAGTTTTTCTTATTGCAACACACTTGTGTGATGAACGGCAGACGAGGTAAGCAATATAGTCAAGAATACCTGTTTTTCAGTGATAACCGACAACATAAGCCCCGGGACCTGGAGTGGCAAACCATATGGGGCCCCACAATGCTAGGTGTGGTATTGAACCAGATGACAGCAAAGCTGTCTACCACCAAAGTTGGGTAGCGGTGGCGGAGATCGAACCTCGGACCATAGGGTCCAAAGCACCCCAGAGCGTTCTATAAAGCCTTATATTTCACACCACCTTGTGGACAAGCATGGCGCCGAAGCAAAAGTAATGCTAATACCAGTGGTGAGATTACGTACACATAATTCAAAAGAAAATAAGGAAACCAGATAACGGAGAACGAGAAAAACAACTGAATAACTTTTTGATAGTTTAACGTACACATCTAACTGGACAAAAATAAATGGAATCCTCCACGAAATCGACTCCAACTACTATATGACTAATGATATCAAATAAAAGGGGTTAACGCTGATACCACAAGTTTAGGAACATTAGTTGTCGGCCACGAGACATTATTTGATGTTTGCCGATTCATGAGGGTATACAAAGAGAGATTTTGGATCGACAAAAAGTGATCGATGCATTTCTCGGACAATCTAGTGAACATCCATGCACAATGGGACCACGAGTGTGTAATCTGTGAGGGTAGGGACAAATGACATAACATGAGTGGTCGTGTTGTGACCCAATTATAAATCAGTGATCTCTTGGGATCTTTTGTACAAATTCAACAGGAAAGTGGGATCAATGTACCGACGAAAAGGGATAAATAAGCTGAAAAGTAGTGCTTTTAGATTGTCCCATGAGGCTATGGATTGGCTAGTTTCTTGATCCAAGTGGAGAACGAAAGATATCATATAGTTTGTTGCAGTCAGCTGTGGTGGTGTGCTGTTTAAATTAACTTTCCAGTAAAGAATAACCGTTGATCCAGTAGAAACCATCCATGTTCAGAGATTTGCTTTTTTGCTAAAAATCATACTTCGTGTATCAGGGGATCACGGGCTACTTTCGATTAAATCACTTTTAACCACCAAATCGCGCTTTGAAATACGATCCTCACAGTGTAAACAATCAACGCGTGGCGCACATTCAGTTGATAAGCACTGAGGAAGGAAGATCAGCGTACCTGGCAAAACATGCGGCCAAAGTTACAGCGAAGAGGATGAGCAAAGCAATCGCAACAATCGCGCCGATTGCGGTACTGTCCATCTTGAACCCGGATATTGATGATTTGACAGACCGGTGTGCCGGTGCACCTATAGATTTAAAAAGTGAACGATATCGGTTGACATGCAAACACAGTAAGGGTGACGTACCCAACAAGTGGTTTTTTAAATGAAGTGATCAGAAAAATGATGGCAATACAGCGCACCAGAAATCTACAGGCGTGCGAACACACGGCCTTGGGTGGCAAAAGATGGGAGAGTGAAGCGATCAAAATTTGTCATTTTGGGATACTTTATAAACGAAAGAAATCGATGGAAAGTTTGTAGTGGCAACTTCATCAAACACTTGACTCACAGTGAGGGTTGAAGTGCGATGAATGATATTGATTTGAAAAGACCATTCTTCAGACTACATCATCAGATACAATCCTTAGTTCGTGCCATCAACCGTACACTCGAAAAGCATAAAACGCCAGTTTCGCTCTGATTAGAGCGAAACAAAAGTGCACATCTAATGAGGGGGGCTTTCAAATGGAGTCGTCAGATGGTATACCGCGCTTAACTTTGTTCATGTCGAGAAAGAAATGACTGACTATCCCTGAAGACATCTGAACAAACACGAACTAGCTATGCCGATCAGGTCCGGCGTGAGATGGTTAACACAGTGGTAACAATTACACCTTCCATGCGATTTGGAGTTCGGAGTTCGACCCCCAGACTGGATGACAGATATGCGCTACTGATGAGCTGTTATATGAAAAAACCTCGAGTCTAGTGTCTCCAGAATCTAAGGTTAACTGAATGAACCGAGAATTGCGCGTAAAGATAGAGTCTGAAGGACGATCAGTTCAAAACATCTGTCACAGGTAATTCCAAAGAGGCAAGAACTCCCACGAGATTGGGTAGAGGCGTTATGGAAAAAACGAGCCTGAGAAATGTATTCGAGTGTACTCCGCAGAATGAGTACGGATGTATAAAATGAAATACGAAATCACGGGCCATCTGGTGTACAGAACAACAACAAATACGTCAAAGGAGTGAGAACCGGCCCCAAAATAATTGAAATGCCCTGACTAGGCGTGCGAGTGCACTAGGTATTTAAGATAGGCGAGTGTCATCCCTAAAAAAATGGTTCGATCGACTGTCCAGACCCCAGTCCCCAATGAGCTGCGGATCCAGAGCATGGAACCCGTAGGTTGGACCATCCTATCAAAGCCGTGGGGTGGGGTGCTTTTAGTGAAGCTCTTGAAGTGACTGAGTTTGACGAGTCATCAAGAATAATATTACGATGGAAAAACTACAAGTTATGCACAATCATCCCCATTTTATTCCCTTCCTTTTTGAGGAACGGTGTTGGCATACAGTCACAGGATACCGGCCCCCCAATGGACTGCGGTTTTCACAACACCCCACTGCTTTGCAGGTCAGACTTTGGCTAGCCGAAGGCTCCCGTTGTGAATTTCCCAAGAAAATTCACCTGCATTGGCCTGGACAACCTGGCAGTATTCAGCCCACAAGCCAATCATGGAACGTTTTTCCTTTTTATAAAGATTATTGTACCATGATTGTCTTGGCACACAGTCTGTCTTCAGACAAGTGTGAAATATATCAAATATATTATTATTATTTATCAGTCTTATAGTTAAATATGATACAAAACAAAAATCACAGATTACTAATGAACGCTGAGTACGGAAACTCTACCCTACAAGATTCGTGGACGTCACAACGTTTATTACAACCGTTTGATATACCACGTCGCAAAGAGATTGCTTTGCGAGTCAAAAATCCACCCCATATTGCTGCTGACCGTTGTTGATCGCTTTCTCATTCACAGTCGACCGTTTGAGTAAACCTTCGCCGTTTTGCAGCCTGGAGACGCAATCTGTAGATTACGGTGGCGCATGCAGGGGATCTATACTCTGCCGTTGTCTCCGCTAGTTTGATCAAACAGAAATCACGCGGAAAGTAGAAATGGACAATACCTGATATGGTGTGGTTTTCAGTAAAAATCTTAGAGCAAGTCGATAAACAACTGAAAGAATTAATGTGCATAAGCAATGCAATAGCTCAAACCATCAAAATTTTCCGACTGCATGCATAACTGAGCT